ATTTGCAGTGACAAATAGTGCCAGTGTTTAAATCCTTTGATGTCCCAGTGCTAAAAGATGGACAAAACATAATTCATCAGAAGATAAATATAAATAACTTAATTGGACATAATATTAAGTATGTTAAGAATGTAGTTTAAAGAGAATAATTTAAGACTGGAGATAAAACACTCTGGAAGCAGCTACATCTCTAAATCTTACAACTCTATGCAGATGACACACTTTTGTGCGTGACTAACTTTAAGCCCCTGAGATCAAAGTCATCATTAGTGATAACTTTGACTCTAGATTTTGGAGAATGGCTAAACAGACGTTTTTGAAAATAAGAATAGGTTTTGATGCATTTCCAAATATTCATTTTCTTGGCCTCCTGATTACCGAGTCTTCAGAGACCAACTAAAAGAAAAAGGACATATTCAGATTGCAGAGGGTTCAGATTGAGGACATCAACAACGATGACATAAGAGACTAGCTTGGTTGTGCACTGAGCCTATGCACAACTTTGCAGAACATCGTATACATGTAATAACTTTGTGCTATCATAAAAAAAATATGTGCAACAATAAGTTTGTGTGCTGCTCTTGTTTGTGCTGTTGTTGGTCCTTTGGGCAGTAGAAATGACAACATCTAAGTTTTAGTGAAATTTTAAGACATGTTCCAAATAACAGCTAAACAAAGGCATCTTATATTATAAGACACAGCATACAGCAGAACCAGGCTCAGGGAGGGGCAGCCATCTGTTTTGACTGGTTGGGGAGAAGGGGAAAGAAGCTATTATTAAGACCCTTCTCATCATTGTGTCTTTCATCGGCAGCAGTGGGAATCACTAGCATTTGTATCTAACTTATTTGCTCACCTGATAAGATCAAAACACGTATTTAACTCTAGTTATCCTTTGGCTACTTGGGAAATAATTCATTACTCACAGGGTATCCGGTCCAGCAGGCCATTGATGAAGGCAACAGCTGGGTCGGCAGTGGTGTTAGTATATGTGGAGGTGGTGGAGATGATGGTGGTGGGGTGATCTGTGACTGTGAAGCTTTTTGCCTTTGATGCCAAGTTAGATTTCACATGGGAAGAATGTTGTGGTGGAAGGATTTTAGACATGATGAAGAGGATGAAGATTTCTGGAAGCAAGAGATGACAAATGTTTACATGTGTTAACAAAAAAGTCTCTCAGCCTTTGTGCTTAATGAAAAGTGGAGGGA